AGTCTTTGAGAACAACTAATAAATAGTGGGGTTTTAATAAGTATATAATGATTATCATCTTGACATAGTGCTAGTGGAGAACAGCATAAAATAAAGCAATGGCAGGTGCATATCTTAGTGAGTGATGCGATTTCTGTGATCAGATAGTGTTCAACGTTTCTCAACCACGCATGTGGTACAAGGGAATTATTATTGCCTTGAATGGTAGGTACCAATTTGGCTTAAGATTATTCCAGTATCAATAAACAATGGCTGAGAACGAAAACAAGAAAAGTTAAAGTAGAAAAGAATTCAACAAGCGTAGTCATTGAGAATAAACCAAAATGAAATCTAGCTCGTTGTTTCAAAAGAATACTCGAAACCTTTAGGATTTGCATCAAATGATCTTCGACTTCCAGGGGTCAACTATTATGGCCCGCCCTGATGATTACTCTGAAATAACTGAGGTTGATGATAAATCATACAAAAGTTAGTGGCCATCTCGCAAATCTTATAGCTTATTTGCTTTGTGCCGTCCATCAATGTCTCTTCGAAAATCCCATTGCTTGGTAAACATTATGAAGCGTAGCATCCGCTATATCTGCAGCATTTCTAGCACCTTCTCCTAATACTTGGTCTAAATAACCTGAATCGGACATGAGTTCTTCATATCGAGCCTGTTGAAAACATGACCATATTTAGCAGTGATTGTTACTGTGGAAATCACACTAGGAAACAACAACCAAATCTTATCTCTCTAAGTGGAGTTGACTACATGGATCAACTTCCGTCATAATATTCTACTCATGACCATGTTTTTATATAACTTGTTAATCTTGATGTCTTTCTTAATAACTAGGAAATTTTCAAATAATTTATAGAGAAATGTTAATTGCGACTAACAATTCAATGCAGTCATATTTCCACTATTATGAGAAGATAGTTAAGATGTCACAGTCCCTTCGCAAAGAAGATTTTTACCATTGTTCTGATTTCCAACTCTCCAATCCAAAAAAAAAAAGTTATAAAATGAGTTATACACTAAACTTCTCTTGCAAGATTTCAACAGCTCCTTACTGTTTTGGTATAAAAGATTACTGGAAATGCTAATTTAAATTACCCATATTTTTAATGATTAAATAATATTGCATAATAACTTAATATTTTTATAATTTTAAGTGAAACTATCCAAACAAAACTTATTATCATAGAAAGAAATCCAACATAAACTCATTTCAAAATTGAACTTTTCGAAAGTACTTAAATACCACTTATCCAAATAAACTCATGTAACAAATTTCACACACCTGTCTAAAATTATCCCTTCGGAATGGGCCATAAAAAAACTAGAAGTATCCAAATAAACTTGTATAATATGCAAGATTAAACAATAAACAGACACTATTGTTGATCCAAAACAATCTTAGCAAAGGTCAAATTTAGTATTTGGAACCTGAATTGGGCTGCAAATGGTCAATCAAGGCGTCTGTTAAAAGAGGTTTGAATGTGCCCCAGTTCATGTTTTGGCATTCCTGCACAATTTCCTGTAGACAAAAGTCGGCATCAAATAGAATATCTATGTAACTGTTAGGAAGTCAAATACCACTGTGTGATTGGGAAATGCTTTGAAGAAATATAACAATAAAGCCTAAAGTTTGCATGGGACTAAAGATATTGACAAGAAAACAAATTTTACATGGAAAACATCAAACATGCTTGGTTGAACAAGGAAGATTCCAAAACCACTAAAAGATATTGACAACAAAATTGTTTGAAAGAAGACAACTTAAACAATTATAAATGAAAAGGAAATATAATCCATTTCTGACCTCTTTCGTCTTTCCAGAAGCAAGCTGGTATATGGAAAGAAGATTATTACATTCAGGTCTCTCAGGATTGTCAATTTCCAAGCTGTTAGATTCATCAGAGTGCATAAACAACTAAGAGCTTACAAATCACAAAATATTTAAAATATTTAAAATATTTATAGAACGGACCATGAGCAAAAAATTAGGCATTTACAGGAAGCCTCCAAGGACCATGAGCAACAATATAATATCATTTAAAACGGGAAAATAACAATACTAACCTTGGAAATGAATCAGTTTTGCAACGTTTGATCTTGTTCGCTATAAGCTACAAAACAAAATGAGTAAACTGAGAAAGAGAAAGAAAAATTAAGATCTCCAGAGCAAATAGCAAATTATCTTACAATGATAGGCAAATTAACCATATATCAATACGTAAGTGCAAAAAAATGCTTCATTCAATATGGGTAATAGAATTATATGAAACTTCCACTTAAGATTATAAATGAACGTGATGAGGCCCTAAAACAGCTCGAGTTCCATCTGACCAGAAACGAAGCATATATCCTTATTTATAAGATACTTTTGTATAAGTCATTATCAACCATTTTTACATCATTATCATACTCAAAATCCTTATTATTTATTGTCTCATTCTTGTGTCCAAAAGTAGACCGCTTAAATCCAAATTTATTTTAATGATTGACTTGAAGTTTTCCTTAGTTTCCTTCTACCTTTAACTACGGAGCTATCTTCCATCATGCCTACACTCCTTATTGGTCTTCTTCACACGTGTCCAACTATTTATGATGAACTCTACCATCTATATACCAGCAGAATTTACCTTGACTTTCTGTCTAATGATTTCATTTGTGATCCTGTCTTTTATCATGAAGCGACTCATATTTCGTAAGATCTCATCTTTGTAAAACTAAGCTTACTTTTTTATATACACTGTATGTTAGGAACCAGAAATTATCTCAAATGAATCAGAAGAAACAAGAAGGAATGTAGAGAGAGATTCAGTATTATTGTTGAACAAATAAGGTATTTACAGGGAAAATGGTACTTCCACTGCCACAGGGCTCAGCCCCTTCAGAGAGTGTGTGTTCTTCATTCTAACCACTTTCTAAGAATTCTGAGATATCTGGAAACTAGATCCACTACCACTTGAATTACCACTTGATCGTAACAGGAAAGATTATCCTATCTTCTAGAAACAGTCCACTAGGTAACTGATTACTCCCCCTCTTGCTGATTTTCCCTTACGTGTGTAGACCCTCCATATCTTTGGGCCCTAAGGCACATGGTGTACTACTGGATTATTTGGCCCACTCGCTTCAGCCCCGGAAAAAACATCCCCCTTCTTGAGCAGCAACCATGTCCCCAAGAATGAAGTGAGGGAACAGACTCTTCATGGTTACTGTGTCTTTCCATGTAGCTTCCTCAGCAGCCTTTCCGTGCCACTGCCCAAAGATTTGAGGCACAGCCTTCCTTCCCTGTGTCACCGTCCTATCAGCTAAAACTGCATCTGGTCCAAACACTCTTGGAAACTCACCTTCTAGGCCTGTCAACCACTACAAACACAGCTTTGAATCCCTTGGATATTTGGAAATCTGGTGATAAAATCTATTGACACTTCCTCCCATATATAGCTTCCGGCAATGACAGTGGCTGCAACAGCCCTCCAGGTGTCGTGGCCAGATTCTTTTGCCGTTGGCAGACGTCGCATGACCTCACAATTCTTGGATCTTCCCCTTCATTCCTATCCAATACACATTAGCTGTCAATCTTCTATATGTCCGGTAAAACCCGGAATGTCCTCCCTGAGGTACAGCATGGAATTCATGGAGTAACTTTGGTACTAGCTTCGAATGAGCTGATATCACCGACCTACCCCCATAAAAAAGCACCCCATTTTGGTACTCAAACCCAGGCCGCATTCAATCCCATAAAACTTTGCAAGTGTTAAAATCATCTAAATATAATTTGCAGAAACCAGGATGAGGACTCATGATGGGAACTAACAATCCATCCATCAACTTTCAACCAAATTCATACATTTGTTTCAAAGTTAAAATCAAATTAGCAAGTTTATACTGATGTAACCTCGATTTTTTTTTTATAATTGAATGCTATATGCCAGCAAAACAACGCTCATGATCAGATATCACACTTGCTCATATATGCCATATAGGAGGAAAATCACAATTGCTGCCTCTAACATCTACTGATTATAAGTAACAAAAAACTTCAACATAGATTAAATGCAAACAGTTCAGAAAACAAACATATACACCATGCAACAAGACCTACAAAAATAAATAAATTACATAAGAAATTGTTTCTTGTGAATATATTTACTTACATCTTTAGGATCAAGAATATTAATTCTGGATTGATCAGAAGGTGCAGACTTTGACATCTATAAAATTGAACCCCTAATACTGTCAGAATAAATTCATATTCAAATAAAAAAAATAAAGTTTTGCAGTTCAATTCCCAAGCCATCCAACGCACACAATGTTATTATTATCATATAATACTTGTCCCTTATTATAAACTTTTTTTTTATTTCACACATTAAAAAAAGTAGGCGGTGTATTTCATGTGTCTATTCTAGGTATAGATAAGCAAGGGAAAGTGGAAATATTGGACAAACCTTTGACAGACCATCAGTTAGGGACATAATCCGGGCTCCGGTTGGAGGAATAAGGGGCTCCGGAACCTATATGCCATAAAACCCTGTTAGAAAAAAAAAACATTTTAAATGCGTTTTAATTCATCAGCTCATTCTAATGGGGTGAAATATAACTTGCCTTAAATAAAGCACCACCTCGCCTGTCATATATGTACAAAATAAAGAATGGTCAAGCCAAAAAAAATCTAAAAAAGAGAAGCTAAATAGTGAATGGGTATGTCTAGTCTAAAAATAATTCCTCACCCGCCTAATTTTTTCCACTTTCTTCCTCCATATAAATTATTAACCCGTTCAGCTAAGTCACGGGTCAACTCCAAATGCTGCTTTTGATCTTCACCAACAGGAACAAAATCGGTCTGCAGATGCATGCTGCATTTTTTGTAAGAATTATACTAACTCAAGGTAAATATAATATAATATCATAACGCATTTCAAAGGTTCCAAAAACTAATCAAGCCAGGTTACAATCAAATTAAGTAACATTAGCATATTTACTAGGTTTTTCAACTTTTCACTATTACTTAATAAATCAGGGAGAATATAAGATAAAACATAAAATGTTAATAATAAAATTTCATGAGAAGTAGTGTAAAAAACCACCTGATATAGAAGTATATCAGAAGCCATCAGAACAGGATAAGTCAAAAGAGCAACCCCAACTTCCTCATCTCCCTAAAATCCAATTCCAAAAGAACAAGTTATTTGGATGAACATATAACACAAACAAGCCAATGTGAGGAAAAGATAAGAAAAAAACAAGGGTCTGGTTTAGCAAATATACACTGGCTTAAACATAGTACAATCAAATGGAATTAAAGTAGATAGACGTTAATAATTTAGAATAGTCTTCACCGCCTATCAAGGCCTAAACATCTGAACACAAATTGTTTCCTTACTGTAGCTGGAGAGTAATAATGAAAATAGTCAATAAGTAGCAGAATTGAGAGCTGAAAGCATAAGCAAATCTCAAAAAAAAAACAATGTAGCATGCACTCAAGCTCTTTCCATTCAAAATCAAATCTTTATACATAAATGTGTTAATGTATGTGTTCGCGCACGCGTGATAATTATTTTATTTCCTGATTGTTTACAAATAAAACAATCTTACTTTGGAAGAAGGAAACTATTGCTGTTGACTTGTTAGAATTGATTAAGAATGAAAGAATTAAAAATAATAATAATGCAAAGCAAACTAGATCAACAAAATAGTGCAAATAATAAAAAAATTAAAAATGAAAATTAGAAATGCATACAGCTATAAACGCACCGCCTTGCGAGACTTCTCTTTAAACTGTATCATTCTGTTCAGCCAGCCGATTGGTGTTATGGAACTTAGCAGCCACATCAATTCTACATGTGCACGGACATGAGACTGGACAAAAACTGAAGCCTGTTCACAGAAATGTATGTCATTTATTCTCAATGGACAAAGGTTTAGACATTTCCACCATAAATATTATTCCTTAAGAAGATCTGAGCAAAAGTTGTAAAGAACCTTTGAAGGATCTATCCCACATGCCAGGTAAATGGCTGCAGTTGACTTCGTATCCTTAGATAATTGTTGTCTGTCGTGCGGTAATGTAATCTGTGAGAAAATCTGAAGGGGTGAGAAATGGGACATTAAAATTCAATTTCTATAAAACATGGAAGTTGGCTTTAATAAGTACAATAAAGTCCAAAAAGTTAGTCCTAAAATTCCTATCCAGAAACCAATACAATTAACCGCAGTGTTTTTAAGGTGTAACTGTGAAGTATGGACCCTTCAAATCTTTCTATGATAGTGTTGCGTAGTTTGTGTGCATGTGATTTCCACCGACCATGTTTTATATGTGGTACGTACATCTTTGACATACAAGTCGAACTACTTATATTCTAAACGAATTTTATTTGTGAGGAATTTGGATGAAGTTTCAACTAAAAACAAAAATAGAAAACCTAAACTGGCACAAAGGTGGCTTAAACTAGTCTAGATTGACATCTTCATCAATAAACAAATAGGTGAATTTGTTTGGCCTGCTCAGTCTAATAGACAAGAAACCTAAAACTAATTATAAACCTAAAACTAGTTATAAAGTCAGTCTACATTTGTCCAAGAAATAGTGAACGGTCCAATATCAAGTCCACGCTTGCGGAATAGTAAACTCGCTAGAGCTCATAAGCAGCACAATTAAAAGGAAAATTACGAAATTCAAGAATATCCTATAATTTTCACATTACAAAGCATACCAGAAGATCAAGTTATATGACCTCAGACCTGAAGCTCAAACAACAAAAAGAGAACAAAAAAATCATCATCGGGATTTATATGAGTTTAGTTATTAGCAGAAGAAATAAGGACATACCGCATGCAGATCTACAATGAAGTAAAGAGTATCATACACATCCTGCAACAAATTGAAATCAATGTCAATTCTTAAAAATAAAAAAAGTCTTGCATATTTGTGAATAAAAAACATTTAGTGTTGTTGAACTGGACTCAACACAATTAACTCAAATATATATATTATATAAGCAAACCATACTCATTGGTCTGAGTGACAATATCCTACACTAATAATAGAATGATAAACTTTATAAAAAAACGCATGTAAATCAAACCGAAAGTGTGCTCAATTGACAATTCATGCAGCAGACTCAATCTCTAAAAGGTGGCTTAAATTGAGTATTCAATCGCAAGATGACAGTATACTGAGAATATTATCTTCATCACCAGTGTTCTTCACTCAACAATATTGAAGGAAAATTGCATATGAGATAGCAAGCTCTAGCACCAACACCTCGGAAAAAGGTGTGTCTGTAACAATGTCGGAGTCCGAAACTGGCACTGATATGATTAGATTTAATTTATTATTTTTCTAAAATTATTACCGGTGTCAATCTGTCAGTGTCGTGTTTCCGGAGTCTGTGTTTCTTAGATAGCAAGTGAAATAAACTACCTATCATTATCAATAAACAATGTAGCGGGAGAAGCTGGTTCCTTATGAAAAAAACCTGAAGAGCAACCCAATTTTTGATGGCGCCGAAATAATTGCCAAGGTGAATTGAGCCGGTAGGTTGAACTCCGGAGGCAACTCGTTTCCTGTGGAAAAAGAAGAAGTTAGTTAGTTGAAGATGATAAAATTGAAATGAGAATTGAATTGAATCGAATGTGAATTACTACTTGATAGAGGTTGAGGTAGGTGTTGGAGTGTCTGGAGAGGCAGAGGATAGAGTGGTGCAGCATCGAATGGTGGGTCTGAGGCGAGAACGAAGGAGCGTTGAAGCTGCACACGACCTGTTTGATGAAATGAAAATGAAAAGAGGAGATAAGAAAGAGAGTGATTGAGTAAAGTGTATACCGTACAGTGAAGGAATGAAGCATGACGGAATCGCGTACTGAGAAAGAACACCCATCTTCTCTTCTCTTCTCGTCTCGTCTCTTCAGCGCACTGTTTCTTACTCGTTGTGTTGATTGTGTTCGACTCCGATATATGTTCAAAATGAGATGAGATAAACGGTTGCGGTTGAATTGAAATGGGATCCGGATTCCCTGCTTTGAGGCGGGAAAAGTACGGGCCTTTTAAACAACCTTGTCCATCTGATTCATCGCGTGTTCCAAAATAAGCCTCCCTTTTTTTTTCCTAACAGAGTGCAAAGTGTCTGAATCACAATGTTGTGTTGTCTAAGACGGGATAGCGACGCATTCTATTTTCTATTTAGTTATTATGTATCATTTTAATTATATATGAAAATTAAATATGTATTGGGAACTTCAGCTAAATAAAATAGAGAAAATTAAATAAATAAAACTTTAGGAGGTTCACGTGTCTATATTAAGATTGTCTTTGTGTTTTGTCGGTGGTATAGAATTTGTTAAGTTTGTATTTATTGGGAGTAACTTTTTCATATCTCTCCAACGATTCAATCTCTGCAAGAATTGTTAGGGAGCAAATTTGTAGAACGCGGCATACTGCAGTGGATTGTCAAGGCGATGTTTTGACTGTAAAAATTGAACAGTTCAAAGAGTATTGTTGTAATATGGTGGGAGAACTGACTTGGTTGTTTTGCGTTTTATCGTAATTGTTGTAGATAGCAAGAGTCGTCACCGACTTTTCTTTTATCCAATAAGAAAATGTGAAAAGAACAGGAAAGACCTTTGAGATATTTTCTTGAGTTCGGGGATAGGTTATGAAAAGGGAAGATGTTAGCACTATTTTCATACATAGTTATCTATGGGCTCTTAGTTGCTTGTTAGATCACTTTTGAAATTGCTTTGTTTGAAATGTGTTTGTGATGAGTTTTGAAAATATTTTTGAAAAGTGTCTTTGTTTAGGCGAACTTTGTAATGATTCTCATCTTTATAAGAATGCATACAAAGTGTTGGACTTTTGAAAATATTATGTTTTTGAAAGTGTTTTGTGTGTTTGGAAAAGATGTTTGTTTTTGAAGATGGATTGTTCTAAAACAACTAAGAATGTTCTACCTACTCAAAAAAAAATTGTTCATTTCTCTCTTCCTTTGATATTGCTATCTTACCATTGATTAGTAAGAAGTCTTATCTTTGGATGTAAAGGGACGGGCGTGGGTCATCGTATAGTCATGAATAGCAATGTTGTGAGATATCTTAGCGTTTCTCTTAAAGGACTAAGATCATTTGTAAGGCTACACTCGAAGCGTCATTGAGGGACTATGATCTTGTGTTTTTTATTGTTTTTGTTAAGATGTCTCACATGCATAACATGACCATTTTCTCAAGACAACAAATGGAGTTAACCCTATAGGTGCAAAGTGTGCAAGTGTTTGTATTTCATGCTTGAATTTATCTTGGATTAAGATTTTCTAAGCATTGGTTTTATCTTTCCATACAAACCCTAACTTACTAACATTTATATGAAAGTGATAAATTATAGAAAATAAATGTCATACGCTATTACATCATTTTAGGGATGGGGATACAAAATTTACAAATGAGGATTGCAAGAATTTAAATCCTAATTATCTATTACAACCATATTAAATTATATGAATAAATGTACAAAAATTGAAATAAATCTAGTATACAAGAGATAAATGAAAAAGACATGAATTTTATTTAGTTTTTGGAGAAAAGATTTTAATATATTTAACTAAAAAGAAAAAATAACTAATAAGAAATTAAACTAAGTAAATTATAAAAGAAAATATTTTTTAATGTTTTTGATGAAAAGATTTTGATATTAATCAAAAGATATGAAAAAAAATTAATTAATTAAAATAAAAAAACTTAACATTCTAAATTAGTTTTAATTAAAAGAGAAATAAATAAACCTAAGTCTAACTAATTGAAAATAAAGGTCTAAACTTAAATTAGTTTAAGAAAAAAAATTAAATAGTTAAAAGAAAAATATTTTACTATTCTATTTATACAAAATAAAATAAATAAAATGAAATGAAATGAAAAAAGTTTTAATATAATTGTTTAGAAAGTTATATTTATGCATATTTATTAAAGAAATAAATAAATGAAAATAAAATAAAAAATGAAAAGAAATGAAAATAGAAATATAAATTAAAGGGGGTTAAAAAGTAAAAGAGGGTGTAAAAAAAATGAAAATCATCTAGTCAGGTCCAAAACAAGCTTTTTCAGAAAACAAGTTATTTGTAAAAAAAAAATATTGGGCCAATGTCATGAAATAGTAAAGGAGGAGTGCGCTGGGAAATATAGGAGATTGGGCTGGGTTGTTGTTTTGAGGATGGCCCAACGAAATGGTGATGAATAGCGAGGGGAGGGGGTGCACGGATGAGGAAAGGGTTGGGCTTGGTGTTGGCTAGGGGGTGTGTGTGAGAGTGAAGAGATTGGGCTGAAGATTTAAGCCCAATAGCACAAAAAGTATGAAAAACTGAATAATAAATAAGAGGAAAACGGTCCCAGGGGGTTTCGAACCCCTGTCTGTACATTTGCCAAATAACACTTCCACCATCGCATTAAACTGCTTCATCTGTTAATAATGCAACATCAATTATATATATATATATATATATATATATATATATATATATATATATATATATATATATATATATATATATATATATATATATATATATATATATATATATATATATATATATATATATATATATATATATATATATATATATATATATATATATATATATATATATATATATATAAAGAATATACTAAGTTGAGAAAAAAATATATGGTGGGCTTGGGCCGAACCAGGTCGACCCAAGACTCACCTCTTATCACCAAATTAAAACAGACAAAAGGGTTTTGTGAATCTTAATGTCTTCAGCGCCTCCAACTTCATCTCTCTTGTTGTATCATGATCGTGTTTCCTTCTTCATCTTCCTCGCTTGAATATTAAGGATATCCTCTGTGTTTCATCTTTTTCCTTCAGTTTCGCTCCTTAACTCTTCTTTTGTTCTGGATTTTTAACTTTCGCTTGCGTGATTTTACAGTGAAACAAACAAGAATGGAAAGGGGAAGGAAGGCTTCGGATTTACCAGCTTGATTTATGGGTGAGTTTGTTCCAATCTTCTTCTTTTTATCGAATCTCTGAAGGGTTAGGATTTTAGGGAAATGATGATAAAAAAATGTTAGGGTTTGTGTTTGTTGCGATTTGGTGTATAGTGAAGTTTGTATATTTTTGTGAACAGAAATCTTGGGTTTGTTGGTTCAGTTTAGATTTGGTTCTTTCTCTGTATTTTTTGAACTATTTGTATATTTTTTCGTGTATGCTCTTCCCCTTTGTGCGCTGCTTTTATACTGTGATGGTTTTTGACTTTGGGACTTGTTTGATGCTTTTACTGGTTGACTTTGCTTATTTTCTTGTACAAGCTTGATGTTGACTTGAGGGGCATCGTTCTGTCACTTTACTTTTGTTGTCTAATTTGTTGGTTGCTTGCTTTTCTGTACAAGTTTTTGTACTTATCGCTGACTTTTAGTACTTGTTGTACTAGCTTGCTTGTTGGGTATGTTGGGTTCTGTAATGGTTTTGTACTGATTTGCTTGTTAGATGGTTGTACTTGCTGGATTTCTTCCTTCTTTTACTGTAAACAATGTTTTGCTTTTGCAGTAACTTGGAAATGTGGTTTTCTTTGCGTGAAATGATGATAAATCTGATTTCTCTTTATTTCTTTCCTATCTTTTGTGAACCAACTTTGTGATTTGTAAAAGACTGACATTCTGGTTTGTCTTGTTTGTGAACCAAGTTTTGTGATTTACAATGGTATCTTTAGGCCAATGATAAGACAATGTTTTGAGGCCTTTGTTGGGCTTGAATTCTTGATTTGAAACTTTTTCTAATGGGCTGAAAACATGATTGGAATTCTTAGAATTTGTTTATTGTGAACCAAGTTTTATCTTGTGACTTGCAATAGCATAATGGCCCATGATAAAAACTAATTTTTTTTAGGCCTTAGCACACAAAAACAAACTCTATTTTCTGATTCTAAAAACCACCCTAATGATGGTATTCTAAATAGAAACTCTTTAGAAATTTTGTTTATGCTCAAGCTCAATAATTTTCTAACCAATTCCTCTTTTTTTGTTTCATGTGAGATGATGAGGAAGAGATGGAGATGGCAAGGCAAAGGCAAAAGCAAGAAGAATCCATGGATAGGCTTGAAGAATCTTAGAGGGAAATTCGAAGAAGGAGAAGATTTTAATCACATAAAAGCTCATAGGATTGATTAGAATGAGTTTAGAAGCTTCCTTTATTTGTCTTGTAAGAATTAGAAATTGTCTTGTAATTTGAAGTTTGTTAGGGAGAAAACAATTGACCTTTCAAATTGTATCATCGTGCCTCTCTTGTAATACAAACTTTTTTGTTTCCAAAATACTTATAAAGCAAGTTAAATCTTGAATGCAATACTTGAATGAATCTTGTCGTGTTGAATTTTTTTTTAAAATGAAATTGAATGGACCTTGAATTAATGCTTGAATAAATCTTGGTTGAAACAAGAAATTAATCATGAATGATGAGGATGAATTGATTTTCAAATAATGAATGAAACTGTGAAGTTGGAAATTTTGATGAATTGGTATGCTTGAATACATCTTGGATTTGTACACCTTGTCGTTTAAACCTCAAGAAACCCCAAAAGTACTTCCTTTCCAACCTTGGAAACTTTGATGAATAAACTTAATCAAATGATTCTTCAAATTTCAAACCCTCTTGTATCTGGTAGCAACAAACAATCAAGAATGAACAAACTTTGATCATAATGAAACCCTTGTAATGATGAAGACACGCCTCAATAAATCAATAGCCTTGACATAAATTTAATGATCCTCAGATGATGAACAAACATAAGATAAAAACCATAATCTCTTGATGATACTTAGTTGACGAATGCAAATGTACTAAGACAAAACTCAAAATAATAATGCTCCAAGAATTTTATCA